GTCATCCACTCAATATCTAAGCTAAGAAGGAGATGGATTCTTTTGTAAAGATGAGTGACACAAAAGAAAGAGAATATGGATTTTGATTTGAGAGGCACAAAGGATTGGTTAGGGACATATAAATATAGGGAACTGTTTTTGTAGATTTCAAAACCCTAAAAAAAATTAATTTGCTATTAACTTTTTTTTTTGAAAAATTTAGATTTATTTCCCTCTTACAGTCAACAAAATGAAGATTAAAATGATTTCTTTCCCTATTGACATAATATTCTACCAAAAATTTGTTTTTTTAAATGTTGACTGTGAATTCATGAATATTTTGTTTTTTACTATAGAAACATATCTTTTTTTATTTTAATTCAAAAGAATGTGTCTATGTCTATATATATATATATATATGATGTGTGAATACATGTAAAACATCTTTACCAAAAAAAATACATGTAAAACATTTATCTTTTATTCCGGTTATGATAAATAAATATTTGAAACTAATAGAATTCGGGAAAAAAATTTATCATTTGAAAATGTATCAGAACAACAAAATTAAAGACCGCATCATGTAAAGATGTCTATACCTTAGGCATGATTTTGAGGACAAAATAAATCTTATATCAAAAGATTAGTCAAACACCAAAAACATTATTAGACTAACTTGAAAACTGAGACCATATAATCTTCTAACTAGTAATTTTAAGGGTTACTCTTCTTTTTTTGGATGTAAATGTTAAATTTTATACCAATTTATTTATTTATTTGCATACAACTTATTAAATAACCGAAGCGGAATGACGATAGACAGAAAAAGTTTAAACAAAATTTACACAAAACCAAAACAGAATGATCAATTGTTTCACGGATGGCATGGAATTGTACTTCAGTCCAAGAAGAAGATGTGTGAGTTGGTGTTCCTTCCAGATAGTATAAATAGTGGCTTGAAAGATGAGCTTAGTGAGAATAGATTCAGGCCGCAGCTGCACCTAGGGAGCTAAGAGGGTTTGAGATGACGAAGAAAGACCAAATTTGGTAGCATCAATATCATGACCAACATTAATGGGGTATCTCTATATCTTAGAGATACCCCTGTAATGTTGGTCTAGAATCCTTAGTTTTTTGGAGCCACCTTCCCCTAGGAGGGGGATGAGGGACCTGAAAGATGCAAGTTGACCATTACCAAGCTCACGTCGCATAATTCATACAAACACTGGCTTAAGTTGTAGCATACATACTTCTAATTGATGATGATAATTTCTTAGAGTCTTCCATTAACCAGAAACTTTTCATGCGAAAATCAAAGGGTTACTTCTTATAGATAGATTCAAACAAAATCTTATTAGAAGCATTCGATACTAAACTCCTCATCACCTTTTCGAAGTCCCGTTACGTAGTAGAGTACATAATCGGATAAGATATTGATGAGAACATAACCGAGATATACCGGTATCAACTAATTAAGATAAGGGTTGAAACGATGAAAATATTATTTGTGATCTTATTGTTGTTAGAGGTTTTGGGTATATTATATTAAATCTTCGATTCATATCTATCTCCATATTCTAAAATTATAGCTGGCCCTTAATATGTATAAATACTCACAACATCTTATAATGAAATATATGGAGAAAAATGTTTAAAGTCTATTGTTCTTATAAGCTCTTAATTGAGACCTATCAGAGATCATTATCTAACATGATCAATCTTGCCCGGAAATGTTTCATTCGAGGTCATAATTTTATATGGAGATAAGCATTATGTAATGGACATGGACTCCAATTTTTTTAAGCATATTACCTATTGTTCCATGGAACTCGATAAACTTGTGACGTTCCTTCTCGAGTTTGAAGCTTGGCTTTGTCTCGAGTCCAAAGAGTTGAGAGGTTCGTATATTTGTCTTGAACCTAAGCATGCGTATAAATTTGGATTTATTTCCATCTACGACATCATCATAACCACCCTCGACAGATATCAAGTATTCACCCGGATGCTGCAACTCAAACTACAAAAACAAGAAAATTCCAAGTAAATAAGTTGAACAAGAGCATAATTAACAAGAAGATTGAAATAATCATCACCTCATCAACTCTAAGTAATGTGTGGCTCCCATGATCCTCTCCAACCACGGTTTGATTGTCCTTGTCGTACAAAAACTTGACACGAATGCGATACCCATCTTGTTGTGTGCTAAGTTTTAGTTGCTTTGTTTCTCTACATGAAATGATAGGTACACGAAGAGCTAGACAAAGATAAGGTAACACAATGTGCCCCAAGTTAAGCAAAGGAGAAAATGTCATTTAAATCCATGAGGACAACATTTTCGTTGATGTACAATATGAACACTACACATGGTAGAAAAAATTCTCAATCTTTTGTTGACTTCTTATTAAGTCATGAAGTCACGTTCACTTGACGGTCGTATGAGACATATGGGCAAACAGAGAAATCATTCACAGAGAATTAGCCGGTTACGAGATCCCGTAAATAACGAAACAACGTCTTTTCTAACATAACTAAAATCCAAAAATTGAAAGTCGAGTTTTAGAAATGACGTCGTTTCATTATAGACGGAATCTCGTTAACGGCTAATTCACCATGTGTGATTTCTCTTTCACTTAACATTGTGTCTCATACGGTGAAGTCAACAAGACTTCATGACTTGATTAAAAGTGGACAAAAGAATGATAATTTTTTTCCACCATGTGAAGAGTCCATGCTTTAAATCAACGAAAATGTAAACTTCATGAATTAAATGATATTTTTCCCGTTAAACAAACAATTATACATAGAAAATTATGATCAAACAAATTTGACTTAAGAGAGATAAATTAATATATCTTTATGTAGGCATGCATTTAATCAAGTGTCAAGAGATCTTGTCTTCTATATATTTTATGTACTACAATAATTAATAGGAAATTCTATATATTTATTTCAAACCTATAAATCTTAAATTTGTTCTACTATTATCGCGCGAAATACTGTTAATATTGATTCTTACTAAACACGATAGTTATTTGAGAAATAAAATCACATCAATGCAGTATAACAACATCATCAAACATATACGTAATATATCCCTAAGAAATAATCCGTATTTTAAAAATGTTATTATTTCATTTGAGGGTAAATTTCATGTTGATATTTCACCCGAAAATATTAGTTTTCAAAATATATAAGACCAATTTTTATATATATATATATATTGTAATGAATGAAGAAAAATAGAAATCATACTTCAATCAACAATCAAATCTAACTAGCTACCCAGATCTACTCAAGCATGTTCTTTATATCATAAACGCAATATGAGAAAATGTTGAGAAAGATATAAAACATACCTTGGCCATCGCTTTAGAGGCATGATGCGTAGCGTCGGAGACGAAAGACTTATGAGCTTTGTGATCATTCTTTGGCGGAAGACCAATAGAGTTGTTCATTCATCACATAACAAGGATACTTTTGCCTGTTGCATTTGTTGAACCAAGATCTACTCAAATAAGTTCTTTAATCATAAACGCAATAAGAAAAGATGTTGAGAAAGATATCAAATGTACCTTGGTGGCCATCGATCTAGGCATGATGTGTAGGTCGGAGACTAAAGACTTATGAGCTTTGTGACCATTCTTAGGTGGAAGGCGTTAGAGTCGATAAGAGATGTCATCCACTCAATCTTTTGTAAAGATGAGTGACACAAAATAAAGAGAATATAGATTTTTATTTGAGAGGCACAAAAGATTGATTAGGGACAAATATATATAAATAGGGAACTGTGATTTCAAAACCCTAAAAAATTAATTTACTATTAACTTTTTATTTGAACAATTTAGATTTATTTCCCTCTTACAGTCAACAAAATGAAGATTAAAATGATTTCTTTTCCTATTGACATAATATTCTACCAATTTTTTTTTTTAAAATGTTGACTGTGAATTCATGAATATTTTGTTTTTTACTATAGAAACATATCTTTTAAAAAAGAAATCAAAAGAATGTGTCTATGTCTATATCTATATATTTTTATATGATGTGTGAATACATGTAAAAAAACTTAATAAAAAAATATACATGTAAAATTTTTTCCTGTTACGATAAATAAATATTTGAGAGAAAACTTGAGAAAACAAATTATGATGTAATCAATAGAATTTGGGAAAATTTTTTATCATTTCAAAATGTATTAGAGCAACAAAATTAAAGACCGCATTATAAAAAGATGTCTATACCTTAGGCAAGATTTTGAGGACAAAATAAATCCTAGATATATTAAAAGATTAGTCAAACACCAAAAAATTATTATATATATTAACTTGAAAACTGAGACCACATAAATACATAATCTTCAAACTAGTAATTAAAGGGTTACTATTCTTTTTTGGGGTGTAAATGTTAAATTTTATACCATTTTATTTATTTATTTGCATACAACTTATTAAATAACCGAAGCGGAATGACGATAGACAGAAAAAATTTAAACAAAATTTACACAAAACAAAAACGAGAGAATGATCAATTGTTTCACGGATAGCATGGAATTGTACTTCAGTCCAAGAAGAAGATGCGGGAGTTGTGTTCCTTCCGGATAGTAGAAATAGTGGTTTGAAAAATGAGCTTAGTGAGAATAGATTCAAGCCGCAGCTGCACCCTAGGGAGCTAGGAGGGTTACGTTTGATATGGCGAAGAAAGACCAAATTTGGTAGCATCAATATCATGACCAACATTATTAGGGGTATTTAGAGGGCTAAGATACCCCCGGTAATGTTGGCCTAGAATCCTTAATTTTCTGGAGCCACCTTCCCCTATGTGGGGGATGAGGGACCTGAAAGATGCAAGTTGACCATTACCAAGCTCACGTCGCATAATTCATACAAACACTGGCTTAAGTTGTAGCATACATACTTCTAATTGATGATGGTAATTTGTTAGAGTCTTCCATTAACCAGAAACTTTTCATGTGAAAATCAAAGGGTTACTTCTTATAGATAGATTCAAACAAAATCTTATTAGAAGGATTCAATACTAAACTCCTCATCACCTTTTCGGAGTTCCGTTAAGTAGTAGAGTACATAATCGGATAAGAGATCATTATCTAACATGATCAAACTTGCCCGGAAATGTTTCATTCGAGCTCATAATTTTATATGGAGATAATCATTATGTAATGGAAGGACATGGACTCCAATTCTTTTAAGCATCTTACCTATTGTTCCATGGAACCCGACAATCTTGTGACGTTCCTTCTCGAGTTTGAAGCTTGGCTTTGTCTCGAGTCCAAAGAGTTGAGAGGTTCATATATTAGTCTTGAACCTAAGCATGCGTATAAATTTGGATATATTTCCATCTACGACATCATCGTAACCACCCTCGACAGATATCAAGTATTCACCCGGATGCTGCAACTCAAACTACAAAAACAAGAAAATTCCAAGTAAATAAGTTGAACAAGAGCATAATTAACAAGAAGATTGAAATAATCATCACCTCATCAAATCTAAGTAATGTGTTGCTCCCATGATCCTCTCCAACCACGGTTTGATTGTCCTTGTCGTACAAAAACTTGACACGAATGTGATACCCATCTTGTTGTGTGCTAAGTTTTAGTTGTTTTGTTTCTCTACATGAAATGATAGGTACATGAAGAGCTAGACAAAGATAAGGTAACACAATGTGCCCCAAGTTAAACAAAGGAGAAAATGTCATTTAAATCCATGAGGACAACATTTTCGTTGATGTACAGTATGAACACTACACATGGTTGAAAAAATTCTCAATCTTTTGTTGACTTCTTATTAAGTCATGAAGTCACGTTCATTTGACGGTCGTATGAGACATATGGGCAAACAGAAAAATCATTCACAAAGAATTAGCCGGTTACGAGATCCCGTAAATAACGAAACAACGTCTTTTCTAACATAACTAGAATCCCAAAATTGAAAGTCGAGTTTTAGAAATCACGTCGTTTCATTAAAGACGGAATCTCGTTAACGGCTAATTCACCATGTGTGATTTCTCTTTCACTTAACATTGTGTCTCATACGGTGAAGTCAACAAGACTTCATGACTTGATTAGAAGTGGACAAAAGAATGATAATTTTTTTCCACCATGTGAAGAGTCCATGCTTTAAATCAACGAAAATGTAACCTTCATGAATTAAATGATATTTTTCCCGTTAAACAAACAATTATACATAGAAAATTATGATCAAACAAATTTGACTTAAGAGAGATAAATTAATATATCTTTATGTAGGCATGCATTTAATCAAGTGTCAAGAGATCTTGTCTAATATATATTTTATGTACTACAATAATTAATAGGAAATTCTATATATTTATTTCAAACCTATAAATCGTAAATTTGTTCTACTATTCTTCGCGTGAAATACCGTTAATATTGATTCTTACTAAACACGATAGTTATTTGAGAAATAAAATCACATCAATGCAGTATAACAACATCATCAAACATATACGTAATATATCCCTAAGAAATAATCTGTATTTTTAAAATGTTATTATTTCATTTGAGGGTAAATTTCATGTTGATATTTCACCCGAAAATATTATGTTTTGAAAATATATAAGACCAATTTTTTTATATATATATTGTAATGAATGAAGAAAAATAGAAATCATACTTCAATCAACAATCAAATCTAACTAGCTACCCAGATCCACTCAAGCATGTTCTTTATATCATAAACGCAATATGAGAAAATGTTGAGAAAGATATAAAACATACCTTGGCCATCGCTTTAGAGGCATGATGCGTAGCGTCGGAGACGAAAGATTTATGAGCTTTGTGATCATTCTTTGGCGGAAGACCAATAGAGTTATTCAATTCATCACATAACAAGGATACTTTTGCCTGTTTCATTTGATGAACCAAGATCTACTCAAATAAGTTCTTTAATCATAAACGCAATAAGAAAAGATCTTAAGAAAGAGATCAAATGTACCTTGGCGGCCATCAATCTAGGCATGATGTGTAGGTCGGAGACTAAAGACTTATGAGCTTTATGACCATTCTTAGGTGGAAGACGTTAGAGTCGGTAAGAGATGCCATCCACTCAATATGTAAGCTAAGAAGGAGATGGGTTCTTTTGTAAAGATGAGTGACACAAAATAAAGAGAATATGGATTTTGATTTGAGAGGCACAAAAGATTGATTAGGGACAAATAAATATATAGGGAACTGTGATTTCAAAACCCTAAAAAAATAATTTACTATTAACTTTTTTTTGAACAATTTAGATTTATTTCCCTCTTACAGTCAACAAAATAAAGATTAAAATGA